TGGTTATCAGACTATGCCATCCCAATAGAGATAGAAAAGTATGATGGTTTTCATTTGCTTCTTTTCCCGCGATTGATGTAAATCTTAAATCGTCATCATTCTGCTCACTTCATTTCTTTTCCAAAGGATAATTAGCTCAACTATTATAGTTCACAAGCATTAGGCCAGAAGCACTTAGAAACAGAGAAGCACCAAATGCATCTTTTAAATGGCCCTTAGGAGAGAAGACGCATCGGAAATTCAGACACCCACATTATTATTCGTCAGTAATTTTTGCTTTAATTTACCACTTAATTTTCCTTTTGCTTAAGTGGTTAAAAATGATTGATAAAGCTGCTACTTTATTAATGTGAGGTTTGACGGCTCCTATGTTCCCTTAAAATTAGTACAGAACTGACAAAAAATTTTTGCACTTCAATGAAGCATGAGCCGCTGTATCAACCCACGGTTCCATAATGTCCTACGATTATCAGTAGATCATCCAGGCACATGATAATCATAAAACCCAAATTACTAACAGAGTCACACCCAATTTGGTGTCCCTGTTGCCATTCTTCACCAGTGCATGATCAACAAAACTTTAAAATAAAACATTCAGAAAAACTTAAAAACTTAAGTGAGATAATTATGCTTGTACCTACTTGGATTTTTAAATATTGCCTTGTTCACATAATTACCAACTCGGTAAGCATTAATTATTGTTTTTACAGTATTGAGAAATTGAAGAGACTCTACTTTCTCATCAATAAGATATTGTTTAAATTGTGCTACATTCAAATAGTGAAATGCCACATGAAAAGTATTTATTGTACTTTTGACACAAGATTATGTCTATGATTTGTTCAATTTAATAATTATCAGGTGATAAGATAGTATGCACAGGTTAATCCCATTAGCTTTTGTTTGCTTGTTTATTTGTTTCTTTAATAAATGTGTTTGGGCCTGTGACTATGCTCTTGCTTGGATAACGGTCTAGAAGGTGGCAGCATGTCAAATGCTAATAATTATCTGGATGGATAATGACGTCACCTACATTTTTAACAAATGAGCTTTAGTAACTCACAAGCAGAAAAAAAATACAACTATCTTTTTGTTTTAAGCTATTAATTGAGTGCCCATTGAACAAGTATAGCTAAGATCACCAAAGTGAATTTTATTTGATCATACCTTGTAAATTCAAAATAAATAATGAAATTAACCTTTAATGCAAGACCAGTCTTCACCTGAGCATGGCTGTGGAGGGGGGTGAGAGGGGGAGTACATAATGTGTTGGGTCTTCACTGTCCTTTTCAGACATGATGATAAAAAGTATTAATACTAATGTAGCAGTTACTATGTGCCTAGTACTGTTCTAAGCACTTGACATATGATAACACTCTGAGGAAGGTATTATTATATCTACATTTTACAGAAAACTGAGCCTCAGTGAGGTTAAATAATTGCCCAATTACTCTCTGGTAAGTGGTAGACCCAGGATTTGAACCCAGCCAACAGTCTGGCCCCAGGATCTGCGCTCTTATAAGTACATAGAAATGACAGTTACCTTTATTAATTACTCCAGCTGCTGTCACAGGTTGCAAGAGAAATGCAACATGGGGTATTTTAAGATTGATCCTAAGTTTTATATTTAAGGAAATGATTATCTTACTTATTGACTGATTTTATTAAAAATAATATTTATCCTTATCATTATTATTAAATTGATTTTGGTTCAAGACTGTTAGGAGTGGAGTCTAAATGAAAGCCTGGTTCTCTTACCCACGAATGTGCACTTAGAGCCTTACTGTACCTATAGCAGCCTCCGACAACAGTATTAAGAGACCTCAACACGCATGACAACAGTAATGCTAATTCCAGGGGAAAGAATAGGGGCTGGATGAGAAAGAATTCATGAGTTGTAAGGTTTAACCAAGGAGTGGGAGGACAAGGAACCTACTACGTGCCTCTTCAAATGATAGGCATTGTGCTACATGTTTTACACGTTATTTCATTTAATCCTTAGAACAACTCCATGAATTGTTATTAGTCCCAATTTAAAGACAAAGCTCATTAAAACAACAATGAGATACAACTACACACCTATCAGAATGGCCATAGTTCAAGACATTGATAACAACCAACACTGGCAAGGATGTGGAGCTGCAGAAACTCTCTCATTGCTGATGGGAGTGCAAAGTGAAACAGCCACTTTGGAAGGCTACTTGGCAATTTCTTATAAACATACTCTTACCATATATGATCCAGCAATTTGGTTCTTTGGTATTTCTCCAAATGAATTAAAAAGCTTATATCCACACAAAAATCTGCACATGGATGCATACAGCAGCTTTATCCATAATTGCCAAAACTTAGAAGCAACCAAGATGTCCTTCAGCAGGTGAATAGGTAAACTGTGGGACATTCAGACAATGGAATACTATTCAGCACTAAAAAGAAATAAGTTATCAAACCATGAAAAAACATGGAGGAATCCTAAATGCATATTACTAAGCAAAAGCAGCTAATCTGAAAAAGCTACCTATTGTACGATGTTAACTCTGCGACATTCCAGAAAAGGCAAAACTATGGAGACGGTAAAAAGATCAGCAATTGCCAAGGATTAAGGGGGAGAGAGGCATGACTAGGTGGAGCACAGACGATTCTTAGGGTGGTGAAATTATTCTGTATACTGCAATGGTGGATCCATGTCATTACATTTGTTCAAACCCGTAGAATGTACTACACCAAGAGTGAACCCTAATGTAAACTACGGATTCGGGCTGCCAAAGTGGAACATGTGCACTTAACCACTGCGCCACTGGGCCTGCCCCATAATATTTTATTTTTTTGCTGCAGAAGATTCAAGTGGATGATTATTGCCATAGTCATGGAACAGAGAGGCAAAATTGCTATCTTAAAAATAAATAAATAAAACACTGTAAATGCTTTTTCATTTTGGGGGAAATTGTTCTGTGTTTGAGAAGCTTCTTTGAGGAGCCTTTTCTTTGCAGAGAGAAGGTCTCTGGATTAGAGAGGTTGTGGCATAAAAGGGATAAACTGCTCTGCATGATAAAGGAAGAGGAATTTTTAGTGTGTGCTTGGAAGCACTAGAGGTGGGACCTTGGGCTTGTGAACTCAATGAAAAGAGAGAAGAAGAAGGTGTTTTTAAGGGGACAGCAGCTCTGGGAACACAGTGTCAGGTCAGGATTAGGGTAGAGAGAAAGAGACAGAGGGACAGAGAGAGAGTGCTATAACAGACCCACTTATGGCAGGGAGGACAAGGCACTTTGAAAACAGTTCTCTGATAAACAATTTTAAGTTGTTTCTTGTCCTGAGCACAAATTCTCCTTTGTTATGCCAGAATCCTCAGTAAAAGATTACTGCATTGGACAATAGCATTCTGGGTAATGAGCATGTGAAGGGAGGTGGGGGAACAGCTAAGCTGGGAAGAGGGAGGTGTTGGCAGGCAAAGCACAGCAGAAGCGGGACAGCAGTTGGCAGTAGCCAAGGCAAAGGGCTGAAAGTGGAGGTGGCCTGGAAAGTGTATAGCGACTTGAAAGGGGAAGCAAAATAATGTAAGCAGAATATATGACTGGAGGCATCTGCATTTGAGTCTCTGCTCTATGCCATCTCCTCAGAGAGGCCTTCTTTAATTCCTTCTCCAATTTAAAGTAGATCAACACAAGTCAAAATTCATTGCCCTATTTGATTTTCTTTATAGCACTTTTCATTGCTCATTTGTTTATTATGCGTCTTTCTCATCATGCTGGAGCAGAGATTTTCATCTAGAGGTAATTTTGCCCCACAGGGGACATCTGGCAATGTCTGGAGATATTTTTGTTGTCATAACTGGAGTATGTTCTACTGGCATCTAGTGGGTAGAAGTCAGGGATGCCGCTCAACATCCTAGAGTGCATAGGACAGCCTCCAAAAGGAATTACCTAGCACCAAATGTCAGTAGTGCTGAGGCTGAGAAACTACATTAGAAGGGAAATTCCTAGAGACAAGGACTCTGTCGTGTGTGTTGTGTATCCCCAGTACTTATGATAGGACCTGGTACATAGTAGGTAATCAATAAGTATTAGTTGAAAGGTTGACCATCAGTTAGGCCCTCATTTTTCCAGCTTGAAATAAGAACCAATTTCTCCTGGACTTATATTTGCTCCAAGTTGTATGTCTGCCTCTCCAATTTGGATCAGAGCAATCATATAACACATGTGAAGAGACTCCTTTCCTACACAACCAGACGGGGAGACCTCCTTCCACATTGTTTCTCCCTGAAAATTCCTTCCACTTAATCTATACAGATTTAAGCATAGGATTGGGGCAGTTAGAAAAATCCAATAAATATCCCACCTATGTGAGTTAGAGGTTTGTAAAGAGAGTTCTATTTACTTTCACCCTCGAGTGATTGGGACAGAAGGAATGCACGGCAAGTACATTGACAACTGATCAGAGCTGTGCCTTCTGTCTGGGTAATGAGCTCTAACAAGCCTGCAAACTCATCAACCTCCCACCCAAAGCTCTCTAACCATGGAGCATCCAGACAAACGCTAAGGTCATATTTCTTCATTGGCACGAGACCACTCCTGTAAGAACACTGCCTCTACTTGAGCTAACAGAATTTTTCCCTGACATCAGCACCAATCTAGTACAATTTAGCACCATCATGCCTCTTCAATTTTCAAGTAAATTGCAATTAACATTTCAGAATTTCAAAGAAATGTTTCTAAAAGTAGTGACCTGGAAGGAAGTGAGAAAGAGAATCCAACAATAGAACACAGTCATTTTCAAAGTGGCTCATGGGTATTCTCCCATTTATAAAATCAATATTATAATCATAGGAAATAAAAGTCTTTGTTTTTATGCTGCTTTCTTGGAAAACAATATGGTAGTTTGGACCAGAGACCAAACAATTTGACAGTGATGACCGAGAAACTGTTCCAGGAAACAGTTAATCCACATAACAAACAAACTTCACTAGCCGAGGTCAGGACATCAACAGGGCCCCTTGGCGGTACCTGATTTTCTTGTTGGTCCCACTGACATATCTGCAGAACCTGACCCAGTTCCTGCCGCTGCTGCTTCAGGTACTTGTCGAGTTGTCGTCTCCTGTCTTGTAGAAGTTCAAGAAGACTGTCGATCTTCAGGCAGCTGTTATGAGCTCCCTGAATCAACTCGGGATTTACATTAGGGCCATCACACTTGAATTTTTCTATGAAGTCAGTGAGTTGTTGGCTTTTGTTTAAAAGGGCTAGAGATCGTTCTAAGAGTTCTGGAAGAAAATTTGAAAGAAGAAAGAATAGTGATATGAGCAACCTTTTACAGTAATATTTGGACTTCATATAATTTAAAACACATGGAACCTTCATATTAATAATAAGGAATTAAAATGTATAAGCATGAAACGCCTAAAATATAACTAGTCAAATACCTCGGCCTAACAATTGCTACAGTGATGACTGCCACGTGATGAGATACTGAAGTTTGGTGATAGTGTGACTCAGTATAGGGAGCGGAGAGACCATGGGATCTGGGCACCGGTTCAGCCGGTTTTTAGTGGTGTGATGCTAGCTAAGGTGCCTACTCTCCTTGGAGTGTTCTATATTCTGAGATGATTGGACCAAATCTGAGGTTTAAAGGATATTGCCTGTAGTGGCCAAACAAAAACTCAGTGAATGTGGTGGCCAGGTACCCAGTGCCAGGGACTATAGCAAAGTGGAGAACGCAGGCTCAGTCTAACAGGGTCAGCTGTTACCTAGTTCTGACCATCTGTTGACAGGAGGGAATATGAGTTCAGTGTTGATGGAGCTTCCAATTTATTAAAGAATTATAAATATAGATTTTTATGTGAAAGCTTCTGATTCTTAAATGTTTTGTAATTTGCATTTTTTTTATTAAAAATACTGAAGGATCAACAAAACATGTCTCTCTGCCAAATGGGCTACCAATTTGCACTCTCTGGAGTGCATAGCATTGTAGGTTTGGGTAACATCTTGTAGAAATGGGAGTTTAAGCCTGAAAATTTAAAAATCGGCAAGGGAGAAAGTATAGGAGGAGTTAGAGAAGAATCCACATTTGGGGATCAGTTGGAGGAGCAGTTGGGGAACTGTCTGTGCTCCACAAGCCAGAAACCCAGGAGTCATCCATGACACAGCCCTCTCCCTCAACCCACCATTATCAAGACCTGGTTAATTTCACCCTCTATCTCACTCATCTATCTACTTCTTTCCATCCCCACCACAGAAAGCATCATCTGCTGACTGGATTTGTGCAGTCATGTCTTAATTGCATCCTCTCTCCAATCCATTCATCTATTCTCCATATATTTGCCAAAGAGATCTTTTTCTGAACACACCTTGTCACACACATGCCAGTGCATGTGTGCACACAGGCACAAGTGAAACAGTAGCTTCCCATTGCCTTCGAACTAAGGACAGACCGCCTAACGTGGTTGACCAGATCTGGCGTGGTCTGGTCTTTATCTTCCTTTTCAGATTGTTTCAATCTCTCTACCCTTCATCCCTATCTTCTTTAAATATGTCACATATGCCATACTCCCTCCTGTCCCAGAACTTTTCACTGTGTCCTCTGCCAGGGGCAGCATTCTCCTCAACCTCCTCCTTCTTTACCTTTATTCTACTCATTTTCAGGTCTTAGTCAATTTTCAGTTCCTCAAAGGACAAACCAGACTGGATTAAATCCTCCTATCAAGTGTTCTCATAGCACAGTGTTCCTCTCATTACAGCTCTTATCACGGCTATAGTTTGACATTTATGTGTCGGGCTAGTTGCATAACATCTGTCTTTGCTGCTAGGCTTCAACGCAATATGAAGACAGAGACCATGACTGTCTCCCAAGCACTTAGCATAATGACTGGCAAAGGGGAGATGTTCAATAATTTTTGTAGAATGCTTGAATGAGATATAACGTATTAAAAGAAGAAGCAGAATTAGGAGAGCTATAAATGCTAGGGATCAGCAGTCTTCCAGAGATGTAAAAAAGAGACATTGAGAAGACTTGGGGTTTTGTGATGGGTAAGTGATGCAAACAGCAGCCAAGTTACCAGGTTGAGAAGTGGGAAGGTAGTGATGAAGAGAAGTCAACAATACAGGACAATCTTTGGGACATTTGTTGTTAGGAGAAAAAAAGAAAGGATAGAATATCAGTAGGGTTGAATATACTGCCTTTTTTTTTTTTTTCAGGATGGGGAGAACTGTGAAGAATATCCAGGAACTAAGCACCTTACCAAGCATCACACTGCTAGAAATGGACAAACCAGTGCTAAAAGCCAAGTATCCTGACTGGCAGCTCAGTTCTTCCCACTATGCTGTGGCTCTGTCCTTCAGCATCCTAACATGTGACAGTTATCTACACAGCAACGATTAGGCTACAGTAGTTGGGCCAGTTGTCTCTTTTGTCTGACACCTTTTTGTGAGAGCTAGAAGAGAGAATGAGATAAGAGAAGATACCATAAAGAGCTATTTTGAAATGAAAAGGAAAGAATTTGAAGTAGTTTATGTCACATGACTTAGATCTGTCCAAAAAGTATTAAGTGGTGCTATTGGCCGGTGACGAAGGTGTGATTACCTGCACTGGGCAATTCGACTGCGAGTCAACAACGCAAAGAAACAAACAATAAAAACAACCACAGGCTGGAACCAGGACAGAGGATGGGATAATTCAAATAGGATAAGAAAAGTCAGGGAGAACATTAAAACTAGAGTACCTCTCTTAAACAAAGAAATAGAAATAAACATGAATAAAATGAGAGGGGAAAGGGTAAAAGAAAAAAAATCTGACTGTCTAGAACAAGGTCTTATGTGGAAATGAAAGAAAGAACTTGAAAATGAGGTGAAAACAGGTTATAGAGGGCCTTGCCTATCAAACCAAAGAGTTGTAATTTGTATAGCCTTAATATAATATTCAGTATGACTGAGTCTCCATATAGATGTGTGTATATTTCCGTTGCATTGAAGAGCTTGTTATGATATTGTGAACAGTTACACACACACACACATACACATACACACACACACAGGAAGTATGGGCAGGTGGCAGGCTTTCCACAGAGTATGTTTTTCCTTCCTTTCCATAACTCGCTCTTACACACTAGATTTTTCAAATGAGAGAGGGAAGCACAACTTTAGCTGCTCAGGGTATTGCAGACTGACAGTGGACCAGGCCAACCTGTTCTGGTCCCCACAAAAGACATATAATTAGCCAAAATTTGAAATCTTTTTCTGGTTTTCTATTTCAACTTCTGCCAAACTAGTTTAACCACTACCACAGTACCAGCAGGCATGCAGCCTCCTGACCCAAAGTTACCCTGGAAGAGGTACCCAGACTACCTTCGGCCTGTTACCTGCTACAATGGCTGTTAAAGGGGAGGAATTGTTCCTTTAGTTCCTTCTGTCGGTTCCTTCGGTGCTTCCTCTGTCAGCTTCTCACGTCTTACTTTTTTACCGTTATTGTTTTCCCAGCTATTTGTTCTATCAGTTGATCATACAATGCGATGTTATTTTTCCTCAAGAGTAACTGTCTAAACATATCATGACCTTCAAGAATTACAAAATCTCTACAGTGCATTTATTTTAAAGGCTGTATTTTTCTGCATATACAAAGCCCTACTTACTGACATAACACCTTTCTTATAGTAGATATTTAATACATTTTTATTAATTGTTTTGGTTAATTGTCATTATATCTAAAAAATAATATTAAAGTACATTTTAAGCTAATACCTACATAGCTTGCCATAATTATTAAGTATAAATAACAAATTCAAAGTGGATGAATGAAGGCGGACACAGTTAAGTGAATACATAGCTTGCTACACAATCTTTCTAAGTGAGTATTTTCTAAAAAGTATCAGTGACAGCCTTGGCATTGAGATCATGGGTGATATTTCTTCTTAACATGTTTTTAAATATTCCAAATTTCCTCAATGGGATGGTGTTTCTTAAACTCATTCAGTGAGCATTTTCAAATAAACACAAAAGTCGAGAGCATAATATAATGGACTCCAATGAACCTATATTTCAGCTACACTTAAAATATATATAACATCCAAGAAAAAGGAAGTAAAATATGATTGTTCCTTTGAGGAAACTTCGGTATTGTGTTCGTTTTAAGAAGGCCATTGGAAAACTGGAAGCTGCGATTGTGATCCTTCAGAGCTTAGAATCAATTTTTTCTTCCTTAATGTCCCTGTAGTACCTTGTTTATTTCTCAAGTTTGCATCATTCTATCCTGTCTTACATCAGAATTAAATACAAATAACACTCAATAACTATCCTGTGGGGTGGACGCTATTCTAAGTCCTGGAGATTCAGAGATGTGCTAATGCCTGTCCTCCAGAGTCTCACAACCTGGTGATAGAGACAAATAAGGAAATAAATTATTACTACACAGGGTGCCGGGTGGTGTAACACAGTGACCCAGAGGAGCACAGAGGGAATTCACCAATAAATGTGTACATGCCCAATCAAATTATAGGCTTCCGGAGGACAAGGGCCATATACTCCCCTGAGACAAGACTCTGGGTTTCTCACCTGGTATGGGTTCAGAAAATATTGTTTAACTATGTATTGTTGAAGCGAAGGCACCCAGGCTGGTAAGCAGTCTGGAAAAAAAAGGATTTTAACTAACTAGTCAAGTTTCACCCAAAGGAGAGAATACTGGAGAGGACATTATCCAACTATTTCAAGGATTGTCGTGTGGAGGAGGGAACAAACTTATCCTGTAACATTCCAGAGGCCAGAAACTTCAACCCATTCATCCTGGTTCTGATCTCCACAACGTTACAGAATAAGTTTCTTGCATGCAACATACCCTTAGCATTGCTGAATAAGGAAAAAGCACAGGTGAAGCTAATTGAAATAAAGTGAACATTAGGGATAAGTTTAATTAGAGTTTTTCCAGTTACATTATGAACACATTCACATTTTGTGCTACTCACTGATTAATATCTCAGAACCTAATTAGAATTGCTAACTGCACTTATAGATCTATTTTATCCCCTTAAATTTAAAGACAATGGCTATTGCTATGGTCTGAATGTCTGCGTCCCCCTAAAATTCATATGCTGAAATCCTAATGCCCAATGTGACGGTATTAGGAGGCGGGGCCTTTGGGAGGTGATTAGTTCATGAGTGTGGAGCCTTCACGAATGGGATTAGTGTTTTTAGAAGGGGCCTTGAAGAGCTCCCCAACCCCTTCCGCCATGTGACGATACAACGAGAAGTCTGCAGCCTGGAAGAGGACCCTCACCCGGCCACGCTGGCACCCTGATCTCAGACTTCCAGCCTCCAGAACTGTGAGAAATAAATTTCTGCTGTTTATAATCCAGCCAGTCTGTGGTATTTTGTTACAGCGGCCTGAACGGACTAAGACAGATATGAAGCCCTTAACTGAAAATCAGAATTTTGTCTTTGAATATTCATTTCAACTCAGCTAATCTTAATCAGATCCCACTGAATTAGCTGGTTACTAAATTTCACCAATTCCCATTTTAGGAAAACAAAGCCTTTGAAGTCACCATTGGACATACGAATTGAGACTCAGATATCCTGACCAGAGTCCCCTGGAATCCCTGTGCCTCCAGTATCACACAGAGGGACACAGAAATGTCACGATCAACATGCCATCAGGATGGAAGAATATTTCGTATCACAGATATAAATATAAACTATGTTTCCTGTCTCAGCTAGCATTTTTCTCTGTCTCTTCAGGTTAAAAGGAGGCCTGGTGGACTCTTGAAGGCTGTACCCTTGAAAGGTAGGACACTGGTCCCACGGTCAGCTGGATGCCAGGGTACCGCCGCCTAAGGCCTCAGAACAAAGCAATGTGTGCCCTGTGTAAACTGGCTCCCTGGGCCACGGATCCTAGTAACCTTGAAGGAGCCGACAACAACAACAACGCAGCTGCATCCCCAAATATTTATGGAAAAGTCCCTAATTCCACAGCTCCTCGATCCCTCTGGAAAATGCTTCCATTTGACTGCCTCAGCACTGAATCTCTTCAACAAAAGCGTCAGTCACTGTCAGATTTCCAGAGGTAAAATTGCTGTGTGGTGATCATGTTGGTTGGATGAAGATTGAATTGAGACGGCAGAACCTGTCTCAGTGACCTAGACTCCATTCACTTTCCACTATCCTAAGAGGAATTTCATGGGATTCTGTTCCTCCCCTTTGGATCCAGCTAGATTGCTGCTGCTGTACAGAAATGCGTAGGCCATTGCTTTAACGCTGATACTTTAGATGCTGCTTATAATTCCTGTTAGTGAAAGGAACTATAGAACAATAATCAGTTAAAATTGCATGTGTATATGTGGTAGGATCTCGTAAAAATTTACACAGGAAAGACTGAGTCCTTTAATCTTTGAGTTTCGGAAAAGTAATGGTCTATTATCTAGAGTCCTTTGGAAGGTGATATAAACACAAAAGCTCTTTGTGGATTTAAAAACCACTGTCCAGCATGCTCAGGCTTGTGGAGCTAGACGTAGAGCCGGAACTGTGACAAGTGAGTTCAGGAAGCCATCTGCTCGTACCCAGTTCTACTTGGCAGTAACAGTTAGAAGAAGACCTTAGGAAGAGAAGAAGTGATTGTTCCCGTCTATGTATCTAACCTGCTTCCGCAGAAGAACATCCCAGTAAACAGCTACTCTTCCACAAATGCCTTCCAACTACAGTCCTGCCCTCCCCAAATTCTGCTGCAAAAGGCCTAGCATACAAATCGTTGGTTAACAACCAGACAATCTTTATAGCTGTTCAAAGGGAGTTGAAAATCATTTTGTAAAGTGTTTTATTACATTTTTATCTGGAGAAACTTCACTACTCTTTTTTTTTTTAACTGCAATTTTGAAAGAGGGATTTTCTTTATCCAGAACTATCATTTAAAGGCCGGCCTTCATTTACTGGCCCTTAAAAAGAACATTCACTGACTCCAACCATTTATTCAACCAAGAAACATTTCTTGAGGATCCATCATGTGCCAGCAGCTTGCTCGACACTGAGGATACACGGATGAGCACGGTGGAAAGGGCTCCCGTCTTCAGGAACGTGGACATATACACTGCTAATCAAGCCATGCTGTGGTGGCATCCCACATACAAAATGGAGGAAGATCGGCACAGATGTTAGCTCAGGGACACTCTTCCTCACACACACACACAAAATCCAGCGGACCAAACAACTGAATCTCCCAGAGTCTCTTCCTTTACCATCCCCTTAGAGTCATTGATAATTACCTCTTTCTTGCAGAAGATGACCAAAAATAAAGCTTTATTTAACCTTTTTTGGAACAAGTTGGGGAGCAGATAAACAGATAAATTAAAAATATGCTGTCATACATGAGCATTCTCATATTAACATCTCTTAAAGCCTTTAAAAGCTCATGTGAAGGGGCTGGCCCCATGGCCGAGTGGTTAAGTTTGTGCGCTCTGCTGCAGGCGGCCCAGTATTTCGTTGGTTTGAACCCTGGGTACTGACATGGCAATGGCACTGCTCATCAAACCACGCTGAGGCAGCATCCCACATGCCACAACTAGAAGGACCCACAATGAAGAATATACAATTATGTGCTGGGGGGCTTTGGGAAGAAAAAGGAAAAAAATAAAATCTTTAAAAAAAAAAAGCTCATGTGAGAAATAAACGTATTTCTTGCCTTTGGTATGATGTTCATGGAGGTGAAGCAGCGATTTCAAGGACTCGGTACTCTCAAACTCCTGAGAGTTCTGGAGGAAATCTTCGGCTTGGTCTATTTTAATGGCAAACTACAACAGAAATACAGGGGAAAGACAGTTGAAAAAATAAAAATCAATATGCCACTTTTAGTTATTTGTAGACGTTTTTCATAAATTAATGACCCAGCTGACTGTGTATGTGTTTGTGGGTTTGTGTGGTGATGTGTGTGTTTGCTTGCGCTGGCTTAGGTTGTTTGTGTGATGGCGTGTGTTTGCATGTAGTCAATTTACAGAGTGCCAAGGTAAGGACTTTCTGCTCATTCCTTTGTATTCCTTTCATACCTGCAAATATGTCATATATGCTAAAATAAACCAACTCATTTACTGTTCAAATGTCTGTTAAAATTTTCAACTAAAATTATTGCATCCTATGTAATTAATACAGCCACTTTCAATATTCTAAGGCAGTTTGTCACAGAATAATGAGAAATTTTTCTAAGAGAAACCAATAAATTTTGGCCAACAGGTAACCCACATAATTATAAGTAAATTTAACTTAAGAACCATTTAGAGAGAAGGATGAAATTTAGGGTCTTTTCCTCTATGGGCCCTAGAACTGAAAAATGCAAATTTCAGAATAATACATAGTCTAATCCCATTTCTACACTTGATCTTAGCCAGGAGGCCAAGAAGCAACGTCTAATCCCATTTCTTACACAAAACAAAAATATGTCTATTTGTACAGAAAGTGGTCTGAAAAGATACACACAAAGGGTTACAATTATGAGAAGGAACGGGATTAGGGATAGGTGAGGGGAGGTAAACTTTTAGCTTTTAAATGTATAATTTGTAATTTTGTTTGCATTTTTATCAATGACTTTATGGATTATTTATATAAATAAAAATGGCATTAGATGCAGCAAGAATGGAAAATTTGTCCTCTATTTCAAGAAAACAAGGAACAGCAATTTGACATCCTAAATGGTGAGCAATATGACTGGTCTCTCTTTTTGTGTTTCTCCATGGAGGAAGAATGAAGGGGAGATGGCTGAAGTGATGGTAAAATTCTCAGGAGAATAATCTTAGAAACAAATTTTAGAAGAGGGCAAAACGTATTTGGTTATGCCAGTACAGTATATCCATAGTGAGAGACAAATAGCAGTTTGTTTTAGCACTAAGTTTCAAAGGTAATTATGGCAGTTTATAAGGACATTTTATCAACATGTTCAGCTTTAGATCAGGCATAGAATAAACTCATAAAGGCAAGGTATCAGTGAGACAGACACAAAAGCCTATCACAGTGCTTGTCTTCTTTCTCAAGTTTTCTCCAGACTATCATCTTTAAATTTGGGCATTTTTAATATTTTTCTGTATCTACTTGGTTAACACAATCTACCATATTTTGATTATGACAATAGCCACATAAATCCAGTTACAAATAGCATGGAATTATAGGAGAGAGACTGATGAGCATGTCCCCTTTGGAAATGCAGAGACGGCCTCCCCCATCCTGTCAGAAAAACTGGATGGACGCAAGCCACTGTCAGTTAGGGACAGTGTTCCTAAACTGTAGCACAGTGTTGAGAAGAGAACAACCTATCTAATGGCTAAGTCTGTGAGCCTGAAACCATATTGTAATACTACCAACCACACAGAAGAAGTCATTTTGTATTTCTAAAGAACTCCCTCACGCACATAGTTCAATAACGGGATCCTAGCCACACGTCATTTACAACTCTAATTCATTCCATGTCTAGTAAATAATTTTAAGGACTTTCCTTAAAGAGAAACTTCAAAGAGAGGGGGGAAAAAACCTCGTAGGTGATTTGATTTTTCCCTTGTAGAATATTATGAAAAGTTTTAGTTATTGTATAACTTAAATCTATATTTCAACTTATTTGAAATTTTAAAAAAACAAACCAACAGATAATCCTTTACTCAGAAAAAGCTTCCCTAAAGTTTTAACTTTTATCTCATGGGTATTTTCCTTTGCTTACTTTTCTTCTTTCTGCAGCTTGTGTAGGATAAAAGCGGCACCAGGAGGACACTTTCCAAAGACCCTATTCTTAATTTCACCCTCACCTTTTTTTTTAAATCACTAAAGTAAATTGCTTTGGCAAACACAAGGGGCAGGGAAGCTTACATAAGAGTTTGCCTTCAGCTTAGCATGAAGTGGTCCACGGAATTGGAAGCAGAATAGTACAAAGAACAATTTGTCTTTTCACTAAGAATCAGAGTGCTATGTTGAGTTAAGCTGACTTAGTATTTCCTTTGATTTCATGTAATACATGGCAGTAATTTCTCATCATACAGAAAATCAGCTAGCATTAACGCTACTACTCAGTGAGAGACAAATATTGGGCCTGATGTCTGAAAAAAGATAATTTCCTGTGCTCAAACTAGCTGAATTTTAAGGGAAGTTGACACTCATATCCCACATATTAGGATGAAATGAATCAGATGTATCTATAAGTTGACCCCTGTAGATATATTTCACCTGGTTTATTTCTTTTCCAGAAAGAAAATTGTGCATGGAACTCTTTCCCAAGAGGATCTGTAAAATGAATTGTGAGCTGCACTTCAGTGTCCCTTGTAGAAAACAAACCTTGAAAGTTACAATAAGGTTTTTGCTCCTTCCTTTACTTTTAAACGAGTTCATGATGCATGAGATTGTCTACCTCAATTTTTGTGTTCTATTACTAATCTCCTCTCCTTCATTATTTTGGATTTAAGTCCTGAATTTTCAGTTTGGAAATGTCATGTTTTTCAAAGCTAGTGCTTTATCATAATGAAGCAGGGCTCTCACATCAAAATGAATGTACCGCCACTTGACAGAGAAGTTAAAAGCGAAATTTCCAATAACTGTCTTACACCAAATATAACACCTCTTTTGATAACGTTCTTTGAGTCTCACATTTTGAAATTGGGAACCTCAAAAAAATCACAGAATTCAAGAAAAAATCATAGGGAGAAATGACCTTCTTAGGCCCAGAACTTTTTCCTTCCCTTATATTTTAATGAGTTCTAACTAAGGAATCTCAACCGTATGCCTTAGAAAGTACTCTCTAATGTTATGCTTACAAGTCAAACATTCTATGGAATATTCTGCAATTGCCTTTTCATAAGCAGCAGAAGAAATTCTATCCTCCAATTTTTAGTCAACAAGAATACTTTAGACCAACATTTCCTAATAATCCTATAATCAGGGATAATTGTTTAATTTTGTAACTGTATTACTATCTTCTAAAGAGGGAAATAAATCATAATGACTTATGGGTAAGAGTTCCCATTTTCACTTAATATTTTACTTAATTTTAATTAAGTGTACTTAGTTTTTGTTTGAAAGGCTACATTTAAAATACTAATAATTTTATTTTTTGACAATCAAAAATTAAATGTATTGTATATATCTTGGTTATTCTGCCATATTTTTTAACTGATTGCAATGACTATTTGTGGAAATGAAACATTTTCAGGAGTGCTAATCATTTGCTCTGATGTGGAGGAGGGAGAAATTGTCTTCAACACAAACCTCCAAGGCATTTTCAAAAAATTCCGAGGTCAACCTGAGGAGCTGCCTTCTCTTCTCAAGCATGGAGACCAGCGCTGCCCACGCTTCCCCCAGGGTGTTGGCCATGGCGTCGTACACCCGACTCTGATCCTTGTTCTCTTCAGCTGTCTTGTCTGCTTCCTCCAAGAGGTCCCATACCTGATCTTCCAAAGCCTGAGTCCAGGAAAGAAAGGGCATAAGGCAGAATGTCACTCAGCGTGAGAACACAAGATCACATTTTAAACGTTTGGATATTTGAATTTTATGTGGTCTAGGAAGGTCTAGAAGACACTTTATAAACACAAAGTGCTATGTAGGCAGGCCAATCAAGCAGGCAAGAGGGTGCAGTGGAGATCGTGGTCAACTAGGGAGCAAGGCCAGGTGAAAGGCACACACGTTTAAACATTGTTCAGACACTGTAGAGATTTATTCCCAAGAATATAGAATATTATGCTGACCTCACATTTCAAACAAAATAAAACTAATTAGAACACATCCAGAGGGAGTGATCAAGAGAAAAATTGTGAGAAATGAACCCAGCAAAACTTACAGTTTATTCTAAATAATTGTTATGGTGGATATGCTCGTGAAGCTTGATGTAAATGTTAAGAATAAGTTCTTGAAAGAGAATATTCATAATGTAAAAATGAAGACATCTGTAACTAATGTTACAGATTGTCTGAACAGAATGCAGAAGATGAAGGGGAGCACGTGCTCAGGTAACTCTGTCAGTGGGGTTAGGACGAGGCTCCCACACATTCTGTTTCATTCTCGACGTTGGCACCAAAATAAACGCACAACTTTAAAAAATATAATAGACTAAAAATAATATGAATAAATTATAAAAATCATAGAAAAGGGGACTAAAATGTGATAAAGCCAAATACAAAAAGAAAACAAAAGAAAGAAGAGCACATTTATTAGGATACACACAAAAAACAAAACACGATGGTAGCAATACGATTGACTATCAGTTAAGACAAAAAAAGTGGATGAGTTAACTTTTTCAATTAAAAGACAAACATTATCAGATTAAGGTTTTTAAAAATTCAACTAATTTATGTTTGCCAGAGTCACCCCTAAACTAAAAGGATATGATTTTTGAAAATAAAGAGACGAGATATACCAGGCAAAGACATATACAAAGAAAGGAAGACTAGCAATATTAATCTCAGATGAATTCAAAATCAAAACAAAAATCATTCAGATTAAAAAATGGTATTTTATATTAATAAATAGTACAATACACAGTAAAGATAAGGTACTCACAAACCTTTACATTTGTACCACTGAAATATTTAAAGTAGATAAACCCAGTCAGACGACAACGCAATAAAAGTAAAAATAATGACAAAAGCCCAGAAAATAAAACAAATCTCTTAGAAAATTTAAGAAAACACTTTAAAGAATAATGCTTGAGGTCCAGCCTGTTGGCGTAGCAGTTAAGTTTGCGTGCTCCACTTTAGCAGCCTTGGGTTCGTGAGTTTGGATCCTGGGTGCAGACCTATACACCACTCATCAAGCTATGCTGTGGTAGCATCCCACAGACAAAATAGGAGAAGACTGGCATGGATGTTAGCTCAGGGACAATCTTCTTCAAGCAAAAAGAGGAAGATTGGCAACAGATGTTAGCCCAGGGCCAATCTTCCTTACACAAATAATAGTAATAATAATAATAATGTTTGGATTAAATAGAGAATTATAACTGCAATCACAGATTGCTTTTAAAAAAGATAAAAATGAGGCTACTATGTTTGAAAACAAGATAATCTTACAGCTGATTTTATGCTCAGATACAATTCATAGCATTAGACAATTTTGTTTTTAAAAAAGAGGAAAATTAATTAAACATTCAAGTCTAAATTATACAAAAAATAATAAAATTAAACAAAAATTAAAGATTAACTGATTAGATACAAAATGAGAAACTAACAAAATAGAAAATACATAAGAATTTATTTTTTAAAAAGTTGGTTCATTGAAAAGCCAAATGAAAGATAAAAATATCTGACAGATGTCAATGAAAATAACAAAATAGATACCTCCAATAGTTCATCCCTTTATAGAAACACCAAAAAAGCAAGTAAAACTGTCTTAACATTGCGAAAACTCTGGAAAATAATCAAAGGTTTATAGCAATCAAGAAAGCAAAGCAAGAAAAAGCCAACCTAAGAATGGTAGGAAAGAACTGTTTTCGCTTGCCCTTGTCCATCTGCTCCTGGTTCATCAGAAACCACCAGTGTGGATAAAAAATAAGACCCAACTATATATTGTCTACAAGAAACCCCCTTTAAATATAAAGGCATAGAGAGATTAATATAAATGGATGGAGAAAGATATATTATGCTAAACTAATATAAAGAGAACTGGAGTAGCTATATTAATTACAGACAGAGTATATTTCAGAGCAAGGAATATTATGAGGGATTAAGATGGGCATTCCATAATGATAAAGGGGTCAATCTCCAAGAAGACATAATAATCCTAAACATGTAAGCACCTAACAACTGAGCATCAAAATATGTGAGGCAAAAACTAATAGAACTGCAATAACAGACCAATCTACTATTATAGTTAGAGACTTCAACACTTCTCTATCAGTAATCGACATATGCAGCGGGCAGAAAATTATTAAGATATAATTGAACTGAACAGCACCATCAATCAACTGGATATAATTGACATGCAGAGACTACTACATCCTGCAACAGCAGAATACACATTCTTCTCAAGCTTCATATATATATATATATGAAAAAAGATTTAAAATCAAACTCTGAGCTTCTACCCTAGGAAATGAGAGAAAGAAGAGTAAATTAAATATAAAGTAGGCAGAAGACACGAAGTAATAAAAATTAGAGGAGAAATCAATGAAATGAAAACAATAATCAATGAAATCAAAAACAGGTTCTAAGATCAATAAAATTGATAAACCTCTAGCCAAGCTAATCAAGAATAAAAGAGAGAAGAAACACATTACGAACATCAAAATTGAAAGAGGGACCATAGCTACTGATCACATGGATAATAAAAGGATAATAAAAGAATATTATAAACAACTCTATGGTTACAACTTTGATAACTTAGATGAAATTGACAAATTCCTTGAAAGACGTAATCTATCAAAACTCACAAAAGGAGGAATAGGTAACCTGAATAGGTCTATGTCTATCAAGTAAATTGAATCACTGATTAATAACCTCCCAAGCAAGAAAGCACTAGGGCGAGATGGTTTCACTGGTGAGTTTTACTAAACATTTAAAGAAGAAATGACACCAGAACTAATAAACAAATTCAGCCGAGTTTCAGTGTACAAAAACCACAACTATACAATATTTAGAAGAAAACATAGGAGTAAATCTTCATCACCTTAAATTTAGCAATAGTTTTTTAGATATGACACCAGAAGTATAAGCAACAAGAACAAAAAATGGAGAAATTGGACTTCATCAAAATTAAGAACTTTTGTCATCAAAGGACTTTGTTAAAGAAATGACACGAAAATGTATAGAATGGAAGAAAATATTTACAAATCATACATCTGATAAGGGTCTAGTATACAGAATATATAAAGAACTCTTCCAACTTAATAAAAAGGCAAACAACACAACTATAAAATAGGCAAAGGACTTCAAAAAACATTTCTCCAAAGAAGATATGCAAATGACAAACAAGTGCGTGAAAAGATGCTGAACATCATTAGTCATTAGAGAAACGCAAATCAAAACCACAATGAGATACCACTTCACACCCACTAGGATGGCTATATATGTTTTTAAAAACGGAAAATAACGAGTGCTGGCAAGAATGTAGAGAAATTGGAGTCCTCATACACTGCTGGTGGGAATGTAGAATGGTTCAGCTGCAGTAGAAAACATGTTGGCATTTCTTCATAGAATTACCACATGACCCAGCAATTACACCCCTAGGAATATATCCAAGGGAAGTAAAAATATATGTCCACATAAAAACATGTACATGAGTGTCATAGCAGCACTATTCACAACAGTCAAAAGGTAGAAACAGCCCGTGTCCATCAACTGATGGATGGATGAACAAAATGTGCTACATCTATACAACGGGATATTATTAGCCATAAAACGGGATGAAATACTGAAACATCCTACAACATGGGTGGACCTCTAAAACATTATGCTAAGTGAGAGAAGTCAGATACAAATGCACATAATGTATGATTCCACTTGTATGAAGTATCCAGAATAAGTAAATCCACAGAGACAGAAAGCAGACTGGTGGTTGCCAGAGGCTGGGAAGAGGGGGAATAGGGAACGACTGCTTAATGGGTCCAGGGTCTTCTTTTTTTTTTGTTTTTTTTCTTTTTTTGGAGGAAGATTAGCCCTCAGCTAACTACTGCCAGTCCTCCTCTTTTTGCTGAGGAAGCCTGACTCTGAGCTAACATCCGTGCCCATCTTCCTCTAGTTTATACGTGGGACGCTTACCACAGCATGGCTGCCAAGCAGTGCCATGTCCGCACCGGGATCCGAACCAGCGAACCCCGGGCCGCCAAGAAGCGGAACGTGCGAACTTAACCGCTGCGCCACCGGGTCAGCCCCTCCAGGGTCTTCTTTTGACGAGATGTGTTGGAAATGTTTTGGAACCAGACAGAGGTGGTGGTTGCACAGCACCTCTGAATTGTACACTTTTAAATGGTTAGTTTTATGTTATATGAATTTCACCTCAATAAGAAAAATTCTTAAAAACTTCTAATGCATTTAAAAAGGAGCAAAATGATATACAAATAACAAAATATATAAGATTGAGATTAAGAGGCTGTAAATGAATATAGCAAGTTTTGGGTTTTCTTTAAAAGAAATATTTCTGTTAATAAATTTTAAAACTGGGATAAAAATGGAAAATTCCTTAAAAATGTGTTAACAAAATTGTCCTAAGAAAATCTTATCATTATCTTCCTCATCATCACTATCATTACTACCCTCGTCACAGTGTATATTGGATAATTTCTCAAGAAAATATGTCCCCAAAGGTACCAATCCTGGAGAGTTTTCACTTTCTTAATTTTTTTATCTTGCTTCATTTTAAGACAAATATCAGCAACCTTCAGGAAACATAAACAGACATATTACGCTGCTTAACCTACTTCAAACATTAAAAAAAGAATCATTCTAATTCATTTAAAAATACTAGCATGTTTC